GATCTTTGTACTTAATTTGGCTTTGCAATTATAATCGACGCATCTGTAATAAATACGGTGTTTAAGTCTGTTGTTTTTTCTATAATGAAAACTTTGAAATATTAGATTTATTCGTATTTGTCAGCGGTAAAGGACAGTTCGAAAATTTTGCATATTTCTGCCGTACTGATATTTGACCAATATTAATGTTATTAATAATTACATTCTTCAAGAATTTCACGCTTTCTTTCCAATTTTTGAATACTGAAATCAGATTGACTGATTTTTATTTTCGCTTATTTGGTCCTTCGCCAATGAAGGATTCCATCCGATTCAAAGTGAGGCTGTGTGAAACAGATGTTGCGGTTGAAAAGCTAAGCTACCCACTCAAATAAGCGTAAATTAAGTGCAGAACAAGTAGTAATATATCTATCTAGTTTTTGACGGCATGAAAATTCCGTATATGCCCGGAATTTTTGTTTAAAAAAATTTCAACGTCGGCTTGAGATTTGTCACAAGATGCTTGTTTAAATATTTGGTATACAATACTCTGATACTTCACATTGATGGATACAGCTAAAAGAAAAATTGAAGGAAGAAAACCCACAAAAAGCGAATAGGAGTAATTGCGACCCTTCAAAATGGGTTTTTGATATTTGCATTGCCATCATCATCCTAATGAAGAATCATATAAAGTTTTTTTATTCAGTTGCAATTCGGATTTCAAAAACGACTGGCAAAACACAATCCAATCTTAGTTATAATTTACTGCTGCTTGCGTAGATATGAGGGAGCTCTCTCTCTCTCTCTCTCTCTCTCTCTCTCTCTCTATCCGGCCGAAAATAAGCATGACGAACAGACGGTTTACCTCATCCGAAATTACTTTAAGACCACCCCGGACCTAAACTCAAGTTTCCTGGTTCGAAGTCTGCGATTAATTTTTTTGACTTTGTCTGGACAGGGTTTTATAGTCGCGGACGAAGTGTGAAAATACCTCTTTTCATCTCTCTTCTCTCTCTCTCTCTCTCTCTATCCGGCCGAAAATGAGCATGACGAACAGACGGTTTACCTCATCCGAAATTACTTTAGGACCACCCCGGACTTAAACTCAAGTTTCCTGGTTCGAAGTCTGCGATTAATTTTTTGAATTTGTCTGGACAGGGTTTTATAGTCGCGGAAGAAGTGTGAAAATACCTCTCTTTTCATCTCTCTTCTCTCTCTCTCTCTCTCTCTCTCTCTCTCTATCCGGCCGAAAATGAGCATGACGAACAGACGGTTTACCTCATCCGAAATTACTTTAGGACCACCCCGGACTTAAACTCAAGTTTCCTGGTTCGAAGTCTGCGATTAATTTTTTGACTTTGTCTGGACAGGGTTTTATAGTCGCGGACGAAGTGTGAAAAAACCTCTCTTTTCATCTCTCTTCTCTCTCTCTCTCTCTCTCTCTCTCTCTCTCTATCCGGCCGAAAATGAGCATGACGAACAGACGGTTTACCTCATCCGAAATTACTTTAAGACCACCCCGGACCTAAACTCAAGTTTCCTGGTTCGAAGTCTGCGATTAATTTTTTGACTTTGTCTGGACAGGGTTTTATAGTCGCGGACGAAGTGTGAAAATACCTCTCTTTTCATCTCTCTTCTCTCTCTCTCTCTCTCTCTATCCGGCCGAAAATGAGCATGACGAACAGACGGTTTACCTCATCCGAAATTACTTTAGGACCACCCCGGACTTAAACTCAAGTTTCCTGGTTTGAAGTCTGCGATTAATTTTTTGACTTTGTCTGGACAGGGTTTTTTAGTCGCGGACGAAGTGTGAAAATACCTCTCTTTTCATCTCTCTTCTCTCTCTCTCTCTCTCTCTCTCTATCCGGCCGAAAATGAGCATGACGAACAGACGGTTTACCTCATCCGAAATTATTTTAGGACCACCCCGGACTTAAACTCAAGTTTCCTGGTTCGAAGTCTGCGATTAATTTTTTGACTTTGTCTGGACAGGGTTTTATAGTCGCGGACGAAGTGTGAAAATACCTCTCTTTTCATCTCTCTCTCTCTCTCTCTCTCTCTCTCTCTCTATCCGGCCGAAAATGAGCATGACGAACAGACGGTTTACCTCATCCGAAATTACTTTAAGACCACCCCGGACCTAAACTCAAGTTTCCTGGTTCGAAGTCTGCGATTAATTTTTTGACTTTGTCTGGACAGGGTTTTATAGTCGCGGACGAAGTGTGAAAATACCTCTCTTTTCATCTCTCTTCTCTCTCTCTCTCTCTATCCGGCCGAAAATGAGCATGACGAACAGACGGTTTACCTCATCCGAAATTACTTTAGGACCACCCCGGACTTAAACTCAAGTTTCCTGGTTCGAAGTCTGCGATTAATTTTTTGACTTTGTCTGGACAGGGTTTTTTAGTCGCGGACGAAGTGTGAAAATACCTCTCTTTTCATCTCTCTTCTCTCTCTCTCTCTCTCTCTCTCTCTCTCTATCCGGCCGAAAATGAGCATGACGAACAGACGGTTTACCTCATCCGAAATTATTTTAGGACCACCCCGGACTTAAACTCAAGTTTCCTGGTTCGAAGTCTGCGATTAATTTTTTGACTTTGTCTGGACAGGGTTTTATAGTCGCGGACGAAGTGTGAAAATACCTCTCTTTTCATCTCTCTTCTCTCTCTCTCTCTCTCTCTCTCTCTCTCTCTATCCGGCCGAAAATGAGCATGACGAACAGACGGTTTACCTCATCCGAAATTATTTTAGGACCACCCCGGACTTAAACTCAAGTTTCCTGGTTCGAAGTCTGCGATTAATTTTTTGACTTTGTCTGGACAGGGTTTTATAGTCGCGGACGAAGTGTGAAAAAACCTCTCTTTTCATCTCTCTTCTCTCTCTCTATCCGGCCGAAAATGAGCATGACGAACAGATGGTTTACCTCATCCGAAATTACTTTAGGACCACCCCGGACTTAAACTCAAGTTTCCTGGTTCGAAGTCTGCGATTAATTTTTTGACTTTGTCTGGACAGGGTTTTATAGTCGCGGACGAAGTGTGAAAATACCTCTCTTTTCATCTCTCTTCTCTCTCTCTCTCTCTCTCTCTCTCTCTCTCTCTATCCGGCCGAAAATGAGCATGACGAACAGACGGTTTGCCTCATCCGAAATTACTTTAGGACCACCCCGGACTTAAACTCAAGTTTCCTGGTTCGAAGTCTGCGATTAATTTTTTGACTTTGTCTGGACAGGGTTTTTTAGTCGCGGACGAAGTGTGAAAATACCTCTCTTTTCATCTCTCTTCTCTCTCTCTCTCTCTCTCTCTATCCGGCCGAAAATGAGCATGACGAACAGACGGTTTACCTCATCCGAAATTATTTTAGGACCACCCCGGACTTAAACTCAAGTTTCCTGGTTCGAAGTCTGCGATTAATTTTTTGACTTTGTCTGGACAGGGTTTTATAGTCGCGGACGAAGTGTGAAAATACCTCTCTTTTCATCTCTCTCTCTCTCTCTCTCTCTCTCTATCCGGCCGAAAATGAGCATGACGAACAGACGGTTTACCTCATCCGAAATTACTTTAAGACCACCCCGGACCTAAACTCAAGTTTCCTGGTTCGAAGTCTGCGATTAATTTTTTGACTTTGTCTGGACAGGGTTTTATAGTCGCGGACGAAGTGTGAAAATACCTCTCTTTTCATCTCTCTTCTCTCTCTCTCTCTCTCTATCCGGCCGAAAATGAGCATGACGAACAGACGGTTTACCTCATCCGAAATTACTTTAGGACCACCCCGGACTTAAACTCAAGTTTCCTGGTTCGAAGTCTGCGATTAATTTTTTGACTTTGTCTGGACAGGGTTTTTTAGTCGCGGACGAAGTGTGAAAATACCTCTCTTTTCATCTCTCTTCTCTCTCTCTCTCTCTCTCTCTCTCTCTCTCTCTCTATCCGGCCGAAAATGAGCATGACGAACAGACGGTTTACCTCATCCGAAATTATTTTAGGACCACCCCGGACTTAAACTCAAGTTTCCTGGTTCGAAGTCTGCGATTAATTTTTTGACTTTGTCTGGACAGGGTTTTATAGTCGCGGACGAAGTGTGAAAATACCTCTCTTTTCATCTCTCTTCTCTCTCTCTCTCTCTCTCTCTCTCTCTATCCGGCCGAAAATGAGCATGACGAACAGACGGTTTACCTCATCCGAAATTATTTTAGGACCACCCCGGACTTAAACTCAAGTTTCCTGGTTCGAAGTCTGCGATTAATTTTTTGACTTTGTCTGGACAGGGTTTTATAGTCGCGGACGAAGTGTGAAAAAACCTCTCTTTTCATCTCTCTTCTCTCTCTCTCTCTCTCTATCCGGCCGAAAATGAGCATGACGAACAGATGGTTTACCTCATCCGAAATTACTTTAGGACCACCCCGGACTTAAACTCAAGTTTCCTGGTTCGAAGTCTGCGATTAATTTTTTGACTTTGTCTGGACAGGGTTTTATAGTCGCGGACGAAGTGTGAAAATACCTCTCTTTTCATCTCTCTTCTCTCTCTCTCTCTCTCTCTCTCTATCCGGCCGAAAATGAGCATGACGAACAGACGGTTTGCCTCATCCGAAATTACTTTAGGACCACCCCGGACTTAAACTCAAGTTTCCTGGTTCGAAGTCTGCGATTAATTTTTTGACTTTGTCTGGACAGGGTTTTATAGTCGCGGACGAAGTGTGAAAAAACCTTATCTCAGTCGCGGAAAAATCACCGCGACCTATTCCTAAAATTGGTCCTGAAATGGTCTAAAAATAAGTCGAAACATGGTCTAAAGTTTAGTCGAAACATGGTCTAAAATTAATTGCTTCATTGATTTGGTCTGGAAATTAGCCTAGAAATTAGTCAATTGCCGTATATGAGCTCTTAGATTCTTCAAAAAACGAGAGTAGTCATTTAAGAACTGGCTTCACTAGCATGACATCATTCATAGCCAAGAAAATTTATTGTAAGTGGTTGTGCGTTGCACTCTTCAACAAACTCTTCTTTATTTTTTACATCTCTTAATTACCATATGAAAGATAACTAACCATAAAAGTCAACTATAAACTACGCTTTTTACACAGTTCAAAAATTTTCGCATACCAACATCTAAGTATACCATAACATTCATTCTTTGTGCTTTAAATTTTTGAGTTTTATCTGATTCCGAAGAAGTGCAAGCAAATTAAACATGGTGTGTAAAGAGTGTAAGGCGCCTGCAGTTCTGTTCACTTGTAAGAAATGTGAAATGGACACATGCAACAAGTGTAATGTGGACCAGATCGAGGAAAAACTCGGCGTGTGAGTTCATCTTCAGAAATTAAATTTTTCGTGCAGTTTTTTTTCATATTTGATTTCTTACAATTCTCTATTTCTTTTTCGGTTAGTTCGTTGAAGTGAATTCAGATGCTATTGAACTCAGTTTTTATCATCATATGAAGTTGGGTATTAATTCTAAAAAACCAAATTTATGCATTCAGTTAGCGTTTCCTTTTCAGTCGTAGCTAGCATTCATTCATGGATCCCGACAAATGCAAAACCCTACAAATCTACGACTGAAATATTTATACAGAAAGTTCCAGCTACTGACATCATATTCTGCTGGTGAGCAAACCTCAAAGCAAAGTGCAATTTAAAAAACTGTATTTAATTGTACAATGCTTTGAGGTTTGCTCACCAGCAGAATTTAATGTCAGTAGCAAGAATTTTCTATGCAAATGTTTTAATTGCAACGTTTTTGGGTGTGTGCCAGTTCGAACTATTTGTGAAGGAAAAAATACGGCCCACGGGATTTTTACAAGTACTTGTCGGAGTAAACTACAAATTACCCTGTCAAATTTGGCATGTTTTAAACTTAAGGTAATTCAAAGACCCACAGTTGTTCCAAAAAAAGACAGAGCTCTGACTAATGCGACTGCCCCTTAAACATGCATTGAGTGTTTTTATGTAAATAAATTGTGGAGCATTTCACTTATTTTGGCCATATATCTTTTTTTCAGGAAAAATCTTTATGTTATCCATGTACATTTTTCTACTTGATTTTTGGTAATTTTGATTTTTGGTAATTTTGATTTTTGATTTGTGTTCAAGTTTTCAAGTGGGAAGGCCAATTGCGCTCTCCAATAACAAAAAAACGCTAAAAACGAAGCTTGACATTTATCTTTATAAGCTGATTCAAATTTTTTTTTCATTTTGGTCCAGTTTTCTCAAATTCTGCAGGTTTTATCGAAGAAAATAGAAATCATAAAATTTTGAAATTTTAAACGGGTACGAAATTGGGCAAAATTATAGGCTACACTTTTTTCGGATTTATATCAAAGTTTTCTTGAAGTTTTGAAAAGTTTTAATGTGTTCCAGGAAGCAGCGCCTGAAAAACGGGAGTGATTGCATTCTATGTGGAGCTGAGAAGTCAATGGCCCTGGTAACAGCTCTAACCAAGACGAGCAAAAAGTCAAACGATTCCCTAAAAACAGTGCTTACAGGCTCCAAACTTGGCAAAGGTGTTTATTTCAAATGCCAATTATCAATGTCAATGCCGACTCGTTTCCACTTTTATTCAACCGGCAGGTTATGCTTTAATAATTTGTTTCAAACTAATATTTTGATGAACTAATCAATTTTCCAAGAAAAAACGTTTTTCATAACATTAGCTTCATTTGCGGTTAGCTAGCAATTTCTTCTTTTTTTAACTTGTAAAGAAAGTGACGGAGTATTTGAGCTCGTGCTGATTTTTATCCAGACGAAATTTTACGTTTCAGCTGATAATTTTTAAGGAAATCTTAGTACTATCTGAGAGAAATGTTACTTAGTACTCAAAATTAAATATATTTTATACATATATATATATATATATATATATATATATATATATATATTCGGTGGTCATTTTTGATAAAATTATGAGAGTTTGTAGATTTGTAGATTGGAATTTCGGACAACTTGAGATTTTTATTTTTAGGGCGAGCAAACAATCGTCTAATAACAAGTTACGTAGACAGCGCGAACTATTCCGGCTCAGACATTACTTCAAGTTGAATTGAGTTAAATTAATTATCCAAAAATTACGGTAATAGACGAAAAAATATCATTTTTGCTTGAAATTGCGTGTGAGGGATGATGCTTGAGAGGGATGGAAAAAATGAAACTGAAAACTCGTGATTTCTTTTTAAAAAATTGAAATTAGTTTTTAGAAAAAACTGCATAAAAAAGTCGCAAGGAAATTGGCACGTTGAAAGTCATCATCTGTTAGAAAGAGTAATCAGCACTGTTACTTTAAGATGTGTAAATGGGCAGCTGAATAAAAGGCTCATCGTAGACAATGAATTGGAGATCAACTCCGAAGGCTTCAGCATGCTAGTACCAGAACTTGACTGATTGGTTGACCGTAAAGAAAGTAATGGGATTAGAACTAAAATGATTCGTAAACTAATTTACTCAAAATAACATTCCTTTTCTTCTTGGAAATATATTTCGCTGAAGGTCCTTTCTTTGTCCGAACCAACGGCTTCGTGGTTTGTAATTTGGTCTTTCGCCAGCCAAATCGGATGGTTTCTATTGCTAACGTTTTATTCGATTTCTGATCAGAAACCGCAGTACGTATCCAATAGATGCGGAATGTTTCAGACCGCTGGGTGTCGTACATCTAAGCAAGCAGAACTTGATCGCTTTACGTTATACAAGTTTAGTTTTCTTAATGATGGTTTCCTTGTGAGCTTCCTTAGCACAGTATTTGCTTCCCGACCGCGGTGCGCTGCAAATAGTTTAATTTTAAGAGTAGCTTATTTGAAAATTTTAGTGCTCGATCGTCTTAAAGGGTTCCGATCTGTCTTCACGAGCATTTGTTAATACTGAAATTTTTGTCTATCAGTCGTTCGTTCTACCCACCTTGTCGCCTGATAATTGTTCACCGGCGGCTGAATGATCTCTATTCCTTCTCCATTTCAAAAAGTTTTGACATCTTTAGACATGAAGTTTGTTCCTTGATCTACGTGTATATGTCGTTGCACGCCTCGCGTCGTTGCACCCATCCAATCGAATCCATTTCCACTTCCAACGGCCATTTGACTCCAGTTCCAATTCCACTTCGGTCGGTTTCCTCCAATCAACTTGATTCTTGACGAAACCACGCATCCATTCGAATCCAGCTCCACTTCCAAGTAAAAAGAGTTATTTCCATAATCACGGATTTCATTGTCTTTCGGTTGCAAAATGTTCAGTTTCTCGCATGCAGTGCCCAACGTCCTTTATAGTTCGCTGATTGTGAAATTGAGCCACGGTCGATCCTCAAATTTGTCCGTTTCCCGTTGATTTTAAGCGGCAATTTCGCTCGAGCTACCTTTAACTCAGTTTTTTGTTTTGATTGCATCGCCATCACTACGTAATCCTCTGAGCTGCCCAAATCCTATGAGTTGTGTTTCTCCGCCGACATGTTAACCCAGCCTACCGAGCTTTCATGTTGTAAGAGGACATATTCCATCTCATCCGACTCTTTCATGTCTCGGTCTTCCTGTCCTTAAACTAACCCCACTGTGGTTGGCTCTCAATTTCTGCGCATTTCCCGACAGATAAATTCATAGTGCCCCACTTTCCAGGAGAAATTACTTGTAGTCCCTCTCGCTGGATCTTTGTAACCCAACCTGTCGGCAGTTATAGCATCGTCGACTTCCTGGTTGTGCTCGCCGTCGGAACTCGGGCTGTCCTTGGTATGGCCCTCGTGCACGTGGTCGGTTGACATGCTATCCTCCCTTTTTTGCTCCCACTTTTTCTGTTTTTATTTGGAACGCTCCGCCGGTTTTTCCGCTTGGTCTTGGCACGTAAATTTTTTATGTACTTATCACCTCGCTTGTAGGATAAGGCTATCCGGATGACCTTTGTCGACGTTTTGGTTGATCTGCAGAGCTCATTCTCGGTTATTCTTGTTTTCAATTAATGCATCCCTTGAAGTGCTTGTTTTCTCGATAACAGCTGCAAGGTTCGTAAATTTCGTTTCTCTCTATTTTAAACTGCGCTTCAGCCGCAACGAGGACCTTCGAATAACAGGTCGTCCCCAGATCCAGATGTCGTATTTCGCCTGTGGAATTCATCCTGTCCGTTCTCCCCAGTCAACGGCAAAAATGAGACGTTGGCGTTTGTTCCGGCCCAAGTAGTTTTTTTCCGTCTATTACCGACGCTGAAGCAGCAACTTGGGCTATCGTTAACATGTTCAAGCATTAACAAAAAATCGAAATAATCCCATGCTTCGTTACCATCCCCCATTGAACTAGGTTGAACCATTGTTTTCATATAATGGGTGGTTCCGCAAGCTTCAGTGTCCAAAATTAAGTTAATTGAACAGAGGTTTTTAGTCCCACTTTGTCTGTTGGCTGCGCCATGTTGGAAAAGAGTAATCAGTACGCTTAATATCTGATGTATAAAAGGACAGCTTTCGAATGCATAAGGTTGATCGTCACCTTTGGAAGTCAACCAAAGATGCCGAACAACTCCGAAGGTCAACACCTGCGAGTACCAGAACTTGACAGATTGAATTAAACTAATGAAATATATGGAAATAGAACTAAAATGATTCGTGATCTAATTTAATTACCATAACAAAGCATTCGAGAAAACTTGAAATCAATTAATTCTTTTATTTTTGCAAATTAGTAGTTCTGAATAAGACTGGTAAACGCTTATAGATTGTTTTAGTTTCGTCGAGTTTCCAATCTGCAATTTCAGCCTAGAAAATTATGCATTTTGTATCAAAAAAAATAATTCAATTTTGATTTAGTTTCAAAAAGTTTTTTTTTGAACCATCGACTTAAAAATAAACTATATAACTGTCAGTTTTTGCTAACATTTTGTAATCAATGACGTCTTCCTCAAAACTAATTTTACAAAGATAAATTCTATGTAAAAATTTTGTGTTTTCTGTTTTTGAAAAGCTTTTTTTTACATTTCATGATTTTGTCTGTAAATTATTATCGTTATCGTCGCTGTCATCAATTTTTTCATTATTCTCGTCTTTGGATCTACTTAACAATCTCCTCTTTTTAAGAAAGGAGAGAAATTGTTCAGTTGAATGAAACAGTCGAATGTTCGGCCAATCAGAATGCAGCAAAACTAGAAATCGCAATTGAATGATACGAATACGATATAAAGCATTCAAACTTTCGACCAATTGGAATGCAGCAGAAATAAAATTCGCTAATATAAAAACGCTGAGAATGAAAAACAGCAAAAGGAGAGTAACACAGACTATAGCAACAAAACTAAATAAATACCAGGAGCAGACATAGGGAGAAAAATCAATTGGGGGCGTTCAACAGTGCCGAAGTACAATAGCGCCGAAAAAGGCGGGAAACTTTCAGAATAATTTAAACGCATTTTCCAACATTTTCTTAAGAGTGGGAAAATAATGACGCTAATTAACTAAGTAATTACTCCAATTTTGGTGCCAAATTGTCTGCAATTGCAAATTTGCAAATTAAACAATTATTTTCGCAAATTTTCTCGGTCAAAATCTTACAAGGGCACCTAAGATTGTAAAAGTTTGCCGCTTAGTGTTTGATTGCCGCACTTAATTTGTTGAAATTGGTTCAAATTTTCGGCACTGTTTAACAAAGTTTTCTTTTTCGGCTCTGTTTAACTAATTTTTTTTCGGCACTGTTGTACTTCGGCACTGTTGTACTGATCCATCAATTGCAATCTATTCAGCATCATCTCATTGAGGGCCTTGAGCAGTTTTCTCTATTGCAACTGATTTGAAACCCTCATTTGTGAAGGCTTTCGGGAAAATAATCTGAAATCGCCCTATAGTTGTTGAAACGAATTGAACCGTAGTCATACAGAGTTTCTCGGTATCTTACTTTTGCTTATTGTTCCGACCATTGAAAATGGAGATGAACTTTGTGTTCGGGTATTTGAGTTCTGTTTTTCGGAACTTTGTATTCCTTTTTTTTTCTTTTTTTGTTTTCCCTGCAAAATCAGGAACCACAAAAGATCATCGGAATCGGTCGAGTTTTATTTCGTATTAAAGCCCTTTCAGTCGTAATTCGAACGAAATAAAAAAATAAAAAATTTGTCCTGTTGTCGAAAACGACTGGTTTGAAATTTTTGAGATTTAGCCGCAATTTTTTTTAATTGAAAACTTTGAAATACGGGAAATAATCACTGCTTTGCGCTGATACGAGCAGTCTTGTTTGTCTCGGTGACCCCAGTGAGGCAGAAAATAAACTGCCGCGACCAAAACTTGGTACTTCAAAACTTTGCAAACCGAGCAGATGCATCCGCGACCCAGGAAAAGATAACCGCGGCTGGCGCAGATGGAGAAAAAATATTCACGGCCGACGCTACCAAAGAAAAATAACAGCGAATCAAAACAAAACTTTAGCCGCGACCGAGTAAATTTGTAAACAAGTCAAATTCACACATATGCGATTGGTGTGAATAACTCACGTCAATTTTTTTTTTCAACTGACACATCTCATTAAAGTATGAATTTTTATTATGAATTTATGAATTAAACGTTGATTATAAAGTATAATGAAATGTACTAATATTTATACTGTATTGTTTATAACATGATGATGGTAATGAGACAAGTGTTCAATTTGTGCTCTAGGTCAGTCGAAGGACCAATTGAAGGATGCGTTGGAGGGGAAGGTGGAATTGGCGGGCACCAAGAAGACTGTACAGCAGACTGTACAGAAGCAGACCGTGCTCGCAGCTATGGGCAATGGAAGCAAGTCCAAATAAACCAAATGTTTGGTATTAAAATGAGTTATATCTAATCTGACCAGATGTAGAAGATTAACTATTGTGAAATTATATTGATTAATTTAATTGAAACTGTAAGAAAAAGACATTTTCAATGTTGAAATGGTAATTATTACAGCCATAGTTTCTGTAATTGAAGGGATTTACTAAAAAGGGATCGCGGCTGCAATCAAAAGGAAAAAAAGCCAGATGAGTGATTCGGAACAATTGCTCAGTTTTTTGCAATGGTTGTGTTTTAAACGGTTTTAACTTTTCCGAAGTTTGAAAACGTAAACACTATAATTTTTTCATCAACTTAAGGAGGCGAAATTGAAAAGGTATTTTTTTCTGCAATTTTTTTGCTATTAATTCTGTATTCTTAACGTTTTTTGAAAAACCTTTTTTGACTACAGAGTAAGTTTAACAAAACTGAACTATTTCGAACTCAAATACTGCTGATGGTTTTGAGCGAATGAGCATACCACAAAATCAGAGCCAGTCCAGCTCTTTACAAATTTAGTTATGCACTTAAGTAATTTCAGTTTTAGTTATAAATTAGTTGTTATCGCAGAAGCTTTTATCTTAGTTTGGCTATTTTGAAGGGTAGGTCACACTAGAGCCACTCTTAGCTTAAAAAAGAGCCATGTGTCTAAGCGTGCAGTAGCTCGGTTGAAGAAGCCGGCTCTAGCGCTTGCTCGGGATTTTCTGCTGGGGTTACGCCAATTGTCGGAGTATACCTGGGAGTGGTTTTTTAAGTAAATGTTTCTATTGATTACAACTTTTTCTTTTCTATTACCTGGTGTTCTGTCAATTATTTTTTGTGGTTGTATTCACTTGTTTAAAATGGCTTGTCTATGATGAGTGTATAGGGTGCTTACATCAGTTATATTTGTTCTTAATTAAAATCGGTTTTTGGTTGCAAAAGCATATTCATCCAATTTGATCTGGTTTCAGAGGAAATTCCCTGTAAATGTTGGTAGTGCGTTAGTAGTGCGGAGGTGATGAATAGGCTGCTGCGTTGGTTATTCATGCTTTGTTCCAATCGCTTGAAAAGAAAATTTGAAAACCGCGAAAGCTGGTAAGAGTTGTTATCAACGGTTTGCGAAGTTTGAAATACTTTCTTTAACTGAAAATTATCGCGCGAAGTTATAAAAAGATTTAAACAATTTTTATTAAGTTGGTTTGTTTTGGTGGCATCCTTTATCTGCAAAAACTTTTAGAGTTGATACTAATTTCATAAATGTGTATTATCAAGAGATGTTTCCTTTGTAATCGATAAAATTTGATCGTTTTCCTAAAAGGAGGTATCCTGCATAATATATGTTTAAAACTGCTGGTGCTAGTGATTGAAATATTTGTGTTCGTTCTATTTCAAATCAGTGATGAAACGTTCTCGGTTCCTGGTTCTAGTTTTTCGGTTAGTTGCGGGTTAACATCGGCATCATATTTACGTGGTGAATATTCCATGTATCTGTGAACATTATGATCATAATAAGCGATGAGAAGTTGATTAGATTTTCGTGCAACGCATCTGTTTTGTGTTTGAGAAAGAGCTATTTTATTGAAATCGTCGAGGTGATTTGTGCATGTCAGTTGACGTATAATGATGGCTGGTAGGTTATCATTGTCGATTTTTTAGAAGGGATACTAAGAGGGTTAGTGAATTTCAAGTGGGGTAGCGTCAGTGAAAAAAGAACAGGAGTTTGATGAAAGGGCAATGACGGGGGCTTATGAAGTGATAGGGGAACATTTGGTGTTTGAACTGGGTTCCGAGTCTAAAAAATTGTCTGGAGCCTCTACTTCTGAGATTTGTATAAAAAAATTGCGGAGACTAAAAGCGGTTTGTGTCGAATCGTCAGAGTGCATAAGAAATGAAATAGAGGATATAGTGGGAAGAAATGAAAGTCGTACCGGTTGCCGAGAGGTTAGGAGGTCTTTGATAGCAGCAAAAAAGGATGAGCGATGAAACAGAGGGATAAGAAAAAATCGCTGGAGGGATCCAAGATATCGGCTCATTGTTGGCTCAAACCATTATCGTTTAGAGAACGAAAGTTAACACTATGATTTTGCTCAATTATCTGCAAGTAACTATCATTCGTATAGTGTGGTCTACACTTAAAATGAGCAATTTGGTTTCTGTTTGCATCATGTTCATGATTTGAGTGTGATCCTAGGGAAAGATTTGTCCTTTATTTTCTCGGCAAAACATTTGTAAAGGATAGGTTTTGCGCAATTTTGTACTTTTAAAGGTGCTGTTGGTGTGTGTGTGTGTGCTATATTCTCATCCACAGGGGTTGGTTGTCTCCCATAAGTAGGTTTGTTGAAACCTAAAAATAAAAAAAATAAAAAAGTTTAAAAAAAATGGAATTCGTTGGTAGCATCGTTTGAATCTTTCAGGGTTTGAAATGACAATTCATGTTTGAAATGGGGGCAGTTAAGTCAATCATCAGTATTTGAGATGAGATCATTCATTTCTGCATAAGAAATCATCATCAGTATTTGAAATGAGATGGTTCAGTTTGAAATGGCAGCTAAGTCACTCATAAGTATTGAGATGAGATGGTTCAGAAATTATCATCGCACTCATCAGTATTTGAGTTGAGATGGTTCAGTTGGTTCAGAAATTATCATCGCACTCATCAGTATTTAAGATGAGATGGTTTAGTTGGTTCAGAAATCATCATTGCACTCATCAGCATTTGAGACGAGATAAAGGACGGCTCAATTGTATTTTTTGAAAGCTGAACTGAAATTTCCCCTGAAAATTGGATCAAAACTCCTCGTTTAATTAAAACCGAAAAGGAAAACTTCTACAAGCGGTAACTAAAATATACAGTACGAAAAGTAAAAGATTGTTTTTAAAAATTGCTGAGCAATTGGATCAATTTTTCGGATTGAAACTCCTCGTTTAATTAAAACTGAAAAGGAAAACTTATACAAGCGTTAACTAAAAAATACAGTACGAAAAGTAAAATATTGTTTTTAAATATTGTTGAGCAGTTGGATCAGTTTTTCTGTTTTTTTTTCTGAATCCTTTTCCTCGAAATCTCCACTTTCGTCAAAGCGTCTGTGTTCTCTTAATGGCTCACTATAGTATTCATAGTTTGGTATTTTTGTTGAAATATTTGTCTCCTCGGCTGTTTTGGCTGTTTCTGAACCCTTTCCAAAAAAGGACGGCTCAATTGTATTTTTTGAAAGCTGAACTGAAATTTCCCCTGAAAATTGGATCAAAACTCCTCGTTTAATTAAAGCCGAAAAGGAAAACTTCTACAAGCGGTAACTAAAATATACAGTACGAAAAGTAAAAGACTGTTTTTAAAAATTGCTGAGCAGTTGGATCAATTATTCGGATTGAAACTCCTCGTTTAATTAAAACTGAAAAGGAAAACTTATACAAGCGTTAACTAAAAAATACAGTACGAAAAGTAAAATATTGTTTTTAAATATTGTTGAGCAGTTGGATCAGTTTTTCTGTTTTTTTTTCTGAATCCTTTTCCTCGAAATCTCCACTTTCGTCAAAGCGTCTGTGTTCCCTTAATGGCTCACTATAGTATTCATAGTTTGGTGTTTTTGTTGAAATATTTGTCTCCTCGGCTGTTTTGGCTGTTTCTGAACCAAAAATTCCTCCTTCGTTTGCGTTTACTTCTGTTATTGAATACAGTTTTCTCTTTCCATAATTTTGTACTCGAATCGTTTGACGTGTTTGGATTCTGATGTTTGAGTGTATTTAAAATAAAAGCTTTCACAGAGTCAAGTGGAGTATCTTTATCCGGACAAACGAAGGTTGTAATACTTCCGAACTGCAGACTCGAAAGGAATCAATTTTTTCGTCAGCTGAAGAGTGCGAAGAACAACAGCACCGAATGGTTCTCTCAGACACTGCCTTAACCAATCTCCCAGGCATCAATTTTTTTGAAGAACATTGCAGTTGGAATGTTTGTAAGCACTTCTGGACTTGGGATTCCCGGCTTGCAAGGCAGTTTTATGTTCGCAGACGCAGACGACGGCTTGCAGAAATGGATATTGGTTTTTTTGCCATCTAAGGTGAGCCAATTTTGAATTAACCGAACAAATTTGTACAGTTGATACTGACATAATGAAACGTGAACTTTAGTGTTGAATCTAAGTGCAAGCTTTTTCATAATAAACTCATAACCGTAGCGAGTTTTGTTACAAAAATGGACCACATTATTTTGAAATGAACAGAGCCATGCGGACACGGCTTGAAAGATGGCTGAAAGACAGCTCTCCCTACAAGGTATGAAATTGTAATCTGTTTTGCAAAACGTTGTGTCGGTGAAAATGTTATCAAAATTATGAACTACAGCTTCTTGTAAATTGTCGATAAAGATGACTGGTTTGCTTCGTATGACCATCTTGCCATCTGAAATCGCCAGTAAAAAGGACAGATTTTTCTTTGGAAACTAGAAGCAACATTACTGAACCTGGACAGTGACCTGCAGGAATAAGAGTGACAGTTAGGGTGTGAGTCTCGTCCCCTTCCAATGAAACATTCAATGTTGTCTCATTATCTGAATCCAGAGGTACTATATATGGAGTTAAAAGAACATAAAGCGGCAATGCACTCAAGAAAGCAGCCGAAACTTTATGACAATAAATTTTCAAGTTATAATGTTTTAACCTTTCGAAGAGCTCAGGCTCAATAAGGCCCATCATGTGATCTGTATGACAGTGCGAACAAAAATAAACCGTAGATTTGAGGTTCTCACCATTGAAGCGATCAATTGAAAATCCAGGAAAATCTGATATTGGACCGGCGAGTTCTGACGTAGCTATAGAAGGGAAAAGAAGGTATGAACAGTGAGTTAATAAAATGAGGATTGAAGATTTATTTCTATAGTTTTTAAGAAAGGAGAAGACCGCTACATTTCGATCGTCATGAGCCCGTTTTGAGTGTGAGCATTTATTCTTAGTTAACTTATACAGCCAAAAAAAATTTTATCATTTGGGCGCATATATAATATTACACGAGTGGATCCGAAAAACAATTACAATTAGCTTCGATAGAGCCAACTTTCTCAAATCAAAAAAAAATATTTGGTAATTTAATTCCACTAACTACAAAAACTAAACAATTTAAATGA